GTGTGTGTGTGGTGTGTTGTGTGTGTGTGGTTGTTTTGTGTGTGTGTGTGTGTGTGTGTGTGTGTGTGTTTGTGTGTGTGGGTGTGTGTGGTGTGTGTGTGTGTCTTTTCGTCGTTTGTGGTGTTGTCTGTTTGTTCTTTGTGTGTGGATAAGGATATCGCATGTACCGGTACTCGCAGGTGTTACTTCCTTTTGCATTACTTTACTTTATCATCGCGGGAAGTCGTGATGCCTGTCCTGGTAGTGTGAGGACCACTCGCTCTGCATAATGACTTTTTAACGATAATAATCATTCTATAAGTAAAAGTGTGAAAAAGGAAAACGCGTTATAGTTTTTGTGCGGTCTGGTCACGTGACGTGTTATAGGATCACTAACCCTCAAATACACTGTCCTTCGTGAAATTAATAGACTTTTCTACTGGACACTCTTGTTGGTCTCTTTTGGTGTTGTTGTCTTCTTCGAGAGAGATAAAAGGACAGGTGTGGTGCTGTGTGTCGTATGTGGGAATACTGTCGCGGGATTTTGCAAATTTAACTTATAAATTTACCCCTGTTCCTGTAATAGTAACCGTCCCACAGAGACTAAATATAACAAGAAATACGTGGCGGCGATTGGGGGGCTCCCTGCTGCAGGGTGCGCGGCTGAATCACCGAGCGCGTCTCCGTCGGATCTCCTCTTCCTGCCGTCACACCCACTGCTCGGTGTTGTGGGTTTACCCCGTAGAGAAGGGGAGGACCGACGGCACACACAGCAGCAGAGAGTGCTGCAGTGCGAGCGCAGCGGGGGACTCGGAAGCGGAGGGGGGAAAACACACTCTCACACACACACACACACACACACACACACATAAACACACGCATACACACACGCATCCAGCCTATTGCCGAAACTTGGTCTATGGCGAGATCTGCAGCGACGCTGTAGCGACGCAGACCGAGATGGACGAGTATTTGCGGAGGGTCCAGAGCAGACTCGGGGTGAGTTGAGCCATCAGCGGCGTTAACACCAGGTTGTGGGTGAAATGGATGAGACCATGACGGGAAGGCTGACGCTGGTGTGCTACAGGCTGCGTTCCTGTTACTGAAAAAGCGCACAGCAAAAGCCTCTCACGTCCCATCGGTCCCCCAAGCACCTGTAGATCGACATTTAAGCAGTACAGGGAGAAAGTAAGGCGTGTTTGGCCCCATACAATAAGCTCGTTGTGTTTACGGGAACAGCAGTGTGTGAATTTGAATGACGAGCTGATTTCTAATGAGGAGGAGGTGACATCAACAAGTTTAGCCAGAGGCTGTACGTCCCCGCTATCTGGCTGCTCTGCAGATACTGACTCATGATTTGCATTTGATCAAGGACAGTAGGTCTATTAACACTTGAAAAAAGCCTTATGCAAATACTAAACAACCACATTGATATAGACTAAATGGTGAGCCTATGGGGCACACATTTGCATATTGGTATAGATCATAATGAGTTGTATAATTATATAATATATTATTTTTGTATGTACCATTGGCTTGTGTAGTCTGTTAGGAGTGTCCTGCGACCCTTGAACATTATGTTTACATCACCCTTTAATGCCTTTAATGATGCACATGCCTTGAGGCCATAGGCTTTAAGGCCCATAGCAGTAATACTGCTCTTTCTACTGTATGTATTCTTGTTTCAGGAGCATGACCATAATATCAGTTACAGTGCATGGCCATGAAGTTACATTTCAAAGGATTTTCATCTGAACACAGTTTAAAGATAATTGTTCATGATGGCATGATTGCTGCCGATAGGCAATATTAACATGACTTGTATTAATTATTTTATTTCTGAGATTAGAAGGAAATATCCATGCACCTGTCCACAACTGATTATTGATCTAAAGAGCACACACACCATTGATCAGTGACTTAATAAAAGTATATTACTCAATACTCAAACAAATGCAACACATATTTATTTACATGTGTTTGTACCTTCACAAACCACACTTGTTTTATTTATGTTTTCTTACCATCGGATCGATTCCTTAGAATATAATTCTCTCCCATTCCATTCAGCAAATCCTCCTCTCTGCAGGCATTGTTGTAACTTCTTAAATTATGAACCCACAGTTGACAGAGAAATCTCTAGCTGGTGTTTACCATAGTTTACCTAAGTCATTGTTGTAAAATAACATACATTCTCACATTTCCTCTACTTCAAAGTAGAACTGTAATATAGCAAAAAATCAATATTGTGATATGAGAATAGATATCTTCCTAGGTTTTGGATATTTGAATTTGGCATTGCTGTCTTTTTCTTGTTTGAAAGACTTGAGTGTACTAACCAGACTGTTTTAGTTGCTTTAATATTTTCAATACATCCACATTACTGATGATTGCTTTTCAAAACTCTCAGCGAAGGCACCAACCCATATTATATTATCACAATATTGTCTTTGAGGGATTTGATTTAACATTTTTGTGATGTGCAATTATTCTCCATAAAACCGTACTTTGAAACTGAGCTTTAGCTTTCCTTCTCACCGTAATATACCATTAGGTGGATTTTATAGGCGCTTTCATATCACATGACCTTCATCAGGCAATCAATTCATAGTAAATAATAGCAAATCTTGCTTTTGAAGTTTGTAAATGCTAATGTTAGAAAATGGAGATTAATATAATGTTACTACAGTTCGCACATTGTTGATATTATCCACAAAGACATGCATCTACTTTATTCTCCTAATTTATACAATGTTCAACCATACTACATTCTTTAGAGTATTCAGTTTATTCATGTTAGCAGGTGTCTGTCGGCACAATACAAACATGCATATGGACAGCCTGTTTGGAATTGAATTGAAAGAGGATAAGAGCTTTTATCTGGTGTGTACTTCACATAAACGTAGGGGAAGGCTGAAGAGAAGAGAAGATCAAAGAAGCAAATCCACAGATCAGAGCACAGCAGGGCAATTGAGTCATAAGGAGGGCAACTGATGAGTGTCATGGAGGTTGCAGATAAAGTGTAACACATGTCAAGATTATCAACCATGTCTCTAACATACACAAACACACATTCTCGCACACATTCGTGTATGTCTCTTTCCCAGCTCTCTATTATGAACTTTGATGGTTCGCTATTCTGCTGACCACTCCCTGTCATTCCCCCCCCCCCCCCCCCTCTCTCTACTCTCTGTATGGCCGCCATCCAGAACATCCATACCTCTAATTGGCCTGGCACTTAGCGCTTACCGAATCTTTCTTTCTTCCTCACTTTTTCTCTGTGTGTGTAACACTCCCTCCTTCACTCTCCCATCATTTGGCATAGAGCTGTAGCAATGTGCAGAGTGGACTTCCACCATCTGTCCTTTTCAGTCACACACACACACACACACACACGCACGCACGCACGCACGCACGCACGCACGCACGCACACACACACACACACACACACACACAAAGAACAATCTTAGTACCACAATTACATACAGCACAACAAATAATGTTTGACACGTAAAACAAGTTGCCAGAATGCGAGAAAGAAGTCCATCCATCACTGCCTTTCGAGACACTCCTGCTGTGAAAAGGAAGGTTGGCTATAAAAGTGCAATAAATTTAAAAGCACAAGTTGGAATGACTGAGAAAACACAGGCAACTTTGACTGACATGTCCTTAATCCGAATAATGATACCATCTTTAATAAGTTTCTGCGTTGGAGTCCCCTAAACTTCCTAACGTTTTTTACTGTTCTCTTTGTGTGAAGAACTGAGCATATTCGACACATCACTGTTGTCTTCTTCTTCCTAATATAAAGAGTGGACACTCTACTGCAAGGCAGACATTAGAAGTCATGACAAATTCACAAAAAGTGTAAATAGTTAGTTGTAAATAGTGGTATTGTGGTTCAGTGTCAAACACAGTCACCACACAGCAAAATAACTTACCTCTCATTCTCAGTCCATGTCCTTCCTGTGTATTCTTGCTTTCTGCCTTGTTAAGAGGGTTTCCTTTGGGTGCTTCACTTTTGTGCATTTCTGATGACATTGAGAATACCATAGTTGAGATGTCTGTTTGTGATAGATTGGTGACATGTTTTCTTGACTTCAATATACAATACTTGGACAAGCTCTAGTTGCTCCAATGGTTGCAAACACAGATCATGTAACATTTACTGTTGACAATTCATTTAAATGTAGTATTTGAACCGCTCCACGGCTCCTATGCAGTAGAGCAGTTACTGTAGGCGAGTAAATCTTATCATCGTAGAGAGTAAATTGCCTAAGATAGAATCGGAGGATGAAACCCTCTTTATTGGTCACACATACATGCACACAGCACACACAGGGACATTTGGTCTCTGCTTTTTACCCATCCTAGTAG